GCAGCTTCTGATTTCTGATGGGAGGAAGAACCCGTTGATTAATTTTTAACTTTATTGCTATCTCGAGGAAAAATGCAGTTAGCGCGAATACATTTGCCCGCGAGTATTTGAATGGAGATTCGGTCGGAATTTATTTGGCTATCGTAAATTTACTCAGCCATTGAGACTTTTTTGCATGAAGAGTCTTCTGAAGTATCAACCTGTGAGTGCCTCAAGAAGAATGAAATGTGCGGGAATTCGTCGATAGGGGCTCCTTAGGAGATAGATTTGTTGATTCCAGGTCACAATCTATATTTTTCTGTGAGGTACTTTTTTTACCAATGGATATTCGATTGCGGAATTCTACAAATTACTCCGTTTATTGATTTCAATTTGAAAATTGAAGATTTTATCACTTGAATTTTATTCAAATTTTTCTTCGTTGTTGAGTTTTTAGAAATATTTTGAAACCCAGAATTATTTTTAAACAATGAATGGAAATCGTGTTATAATAAAGGGAAGTAAATAATTAAATGTAGGATACGATATTTCGGTGTTTCAATTTAGTGAATTATTTATTAAAACTTTAGCCAGAAGTAACGCTGGAGAAGATCCAATAATACAAATAGTATTCCTTCCCAAAGTTTCAAGATAAATGACTCGACATCTTAAAATCAGCATCTGACCTATTTTCCATGAAATATTTCCTACATGTTGAAGAATTTTGAAAAAGAAGTTTAAAGTCCAAGTGAGAAAGCTTCCTCGTATGCTCTTTAACTTCTTTAAAAAGAGATAACAAACAATCCTCTTATCGCATATTCTTCATCTTTTATTTTCGAGTGGATGAAAAGGTAACTGCACACTCTCCCCAATTTCATCAAGATCTCTACTGAAACGAATAGCTCTTCTGTCGAAACAGCCTTCCGTAACAGCAGTTTCGTCCACAATATACTTCCACGTTTTCCAGCTTCGAATTTGCCACTTCCATTATCCAAGAAATACCGAAAAAATCTCAATTTATTTTCACACCTGTAATCTAATTAATTCCTGATTTTTTTCACCACAACAATTTTTTAAAATTGTAGATTTTAATGAGAAAAATAATTCCTTTCACCACGTGAATTTTGCCAGAAGAAAATAAAGTTAGCACAAAGAACTCTCTTTCTCAGTGTTGAGTTCTGAAACGTTAAAAATCTTAAATAAAAAACTGCATTAACTATTCCAGTCAACGGTTATTATTTATTTTTTTTTGCTTTTTTTTGTCCAGAAATTGTAGCAGGAAGAATTGTTTTCTTGATATAAATTATAGCTGGAAGTGTGCAACGAACGTTAATCATTGGGAGCTTGAAATTAATTCTGGTTTTTGCATGAAGCTCTTGGGTTCAGTGATGAATCATGGAAAGTTATGGGATCTGAAGGTTTGTCCCCCATGGTGATCATGGAGGCATACCCACACCCAATAAACGGAGACACTTTTTGTCCGTATTTAGCCGCTCGATATGTTCTAACAGGATGTGAAAGGGTCACCCACAGGACAACAACTTTACTCCATCCCCTACTTTCTGGAACTTTCCTATCACCTCGGCTGGTACCTTTGGGAATGCCAAAAATATTGCCCTCGTAACTACGTAGAATTCCATACATTATAACCTTTGAATAGCAATCATTTTCTCGACACCATAATTTACCGGTATTTTTTCATTTGCGCTGATGAAAAACAGAGAGCATCGGGAAAAAATATAAAAGCCAATTGAATGTTTTTCCCAAATACCGCGGAGAAAATATCATTCCACTGAGTGATTATTTTTCATTTTGGAAGAGATTTTTATTGTAGAAATATTCGGTAATTGATTGAATGGATGCGTTTCATGGCTGATTGAGAAAACCATGTTGTGATTTAAACCATCGGTCTGTCGAGGGTAAAAAATAGGAATTCGTTAGCGGAGAGATTTTTCGAGCCACTATTGGTTTCAAGTTGATGAATGTGGGTAGATAATTGATAGAACTAATTCAATTACACGTGGAGAGCAAAAAATATGATATCGGGCGAATCTTGCTTGAAATAAAAATGGTATTTCCAATGGAATACAAATCTAGTTCAATTTACTATTATTATTGCCATCTAGAATTTAAGAGGACCATCGAAATAAATATTAAATTTTTCACAGTTCACCACATTTTTTTTCAATTATTCGTTTCAACATTCCAATTGTTGAATATGCGTTTGAACTATAAAATTTATAAATTCGCGGGTCAACGGATTTTCTGTCTCTGGTGTTCTACAAATCTTTCGATTGACTGCCCCTACCCCATGTCATTCGACACACAACAAAAAAATATATATTTCACTCTAGTATATTCTGCATTAAATTCTTGTCTATTCTATTTATTTATTGCGAATCATAGAATCAAACGAAAAATATTTTTTTTATTGAAAATATTTCAGAATCAAATGAGATAAAGAATGCCTTCTAACCATGACTGTTAAATCAAGCATAAAGTCTGCTAGATTCGAGTATATTTCTTTCTCCTAGCACGCATCGCAGTGCTCTCGTAAAATCCAACGAACAACCAAGTCCATGACCTGGAAATCATCCCAGGGGGAATCAACTGAAAAAAATCCATGGAAAATAGATGAATTACGTGTTGCCACTTACATCTCTATTTTCTCCGTAACTAGCAAAGAGAGAGTCCAAGTCATCAACTTGTTCCGCGAATAAATTGAAATTCATATCATCCGCCTCATGTAGAGTAAAATTTCTCCCCTTCAATTTCGATTCACGAAGAAATGAAAAATAAATTGCGGGACAATGAAAATTTCATATTTCCTCAAGCACTGCGTAATAAAGTTGCTTTGTCTTCTTATTTCATTTTGCCTGAAGCTTCAATGGTAAAAACAACTGATGAATCTCACGAGAACTGACAATCTGACCTAAATTATAATTCAGTATAACTAAAACGCTTGAAAAATTATTATAAACCTTCTTCTCTGAAGAAAATACAATTCTTCAACTACAAATTAATAACAATTACTAACAATATATTAATATAATTATATAAACAAAAAAAATAATTTTCTCGTTATTTGACAAGTGTATTTCATAATTCCAGTATACTTGATTAATTGAAAAAATAAGTTTCCTGGTGCTGACATTATGAAAATTCTTGCTTTTTCAGGTACTATTTGGCGACAGTACCAGGTGATCCGGGTCAGCAACATCTGTACCGAGTGTCGACCCTAGAGATGGTGTCAGTCCCCGAATGTCTCAGCTGTGGGGTTAAGAGTGATGCCGATGGTACATACTGTCTCTACAACGAAGCAGAACTCTCACCAGATAACAGTCACTACATACTCACTTGCGCTGGTCCTGGTGTACCCGATGTCTCAATATACAACAGTGTAAGCTATCTCTCTCACATTCTCGTTTTTCCCTGAATGTTGCATTACACTCGACCGGAATCGAAAATGTCGTTCATGCCACTTTATTACCTCATGCCATTCCCACCTCTGTGCGGTTCCACTCGAAAATGCACACACAGATGGAACTCAATTTTATGGGATTTTTGGATGTTTTTTTTTCTAGTCCACTTTATCGTTATTTTTGCAAATGGGAAAAAACTCATATTCGCTGGAGAAAATGTGGGTCAATTTTACCACGCTAACCCAGAATAACGAGAGATTTCCATCATTTTTTCATTATACAGAGAGCTGAAAGGAAAATTAAACTAGTATAACGACTCTCAATGTATAACTTTCGGGGATTATCAAGCTGTTCTTTCGATTGAGTCGGATGAATTATTATTTTCTACGTATTTTTTTTATTTTATGAGAAATTCTCCTGCTAAAGAAGTGAATTATCAGTGCACACTGAAAAAACAATTGTGTCGAGCAAATTTACTGACTGCCAGAAAATCCACACATTTCAAATGCAAATACTTATGTACATCTACTTGTAGCGAGTAAATTGACTTGGGAGGAGTAATTTTTTCTCAGTAGCTACTAAAACAGAACTTTTCAACTCCCCTTCTGACCACTTCTATATTTTTCTACTGCCTCTGGAGCATTTTAACAGGCAACTTGAGCGTTAATTCCCTCTGATAGTACTCTGATAGTACTTCATGTAGACTCAGAAAGTGACGATCACTGAGTACACGCAAGAAAGACAATAAGAGCCCAGCAACTTCCTCCATTTAATCGCATTAACCCGAATGGCATTCAGGCCATTTGCCTCCTGGAGGCAAAAGATGAAAAAGCAGTCTGAAAAAAAAATCCATAAAATTGAGAAAAATAAACTGGGGTACTCTGGTTTTCACATCTTTTCGCCCAAGTGAAAAATTTCACCCAAAGAGAAAAAAACGAGAGAGATTCGGCCGGAAGAGGTGTTCATTGCTCAGTCAGGATTTTCCATTTCCGATCGTTTACTCTAGCTTTTCCCCGCCAATGTGATTTTTCCTAATTAGTTCCGCTTTTCACCATTGAGATGACAGATTTACCTGCAAATTCTATGTTAATGGAGGAGTAAAGTAGCGGAGAAGTCATTGATCTTTGGGAGGGAAAACCAATTTGCTCATTTCGTTTGATATACATACCGAATAGCGCAAATTTCCTCTGAAATATGAGTTGAAATCGACTCAATGGACCGATAACTCCGCAATTTCACGCAATATTTGCAGAGTGTTGCAATCAAAGCAACATAAATGGCTGAGTGTAAAAACCGAATAAAATAATCATCGCATTATTGGACGCAATTGAATACGTGATTAAAGTACGCATCACCCAATCCTCCCTCTTGCGTTAAATTCAATGAGCTAGTAAATAAACAAAGCCTGTTGGTCAAGTACTCACTCGAACGTTGAAATGCGCATGAGGAACAACAAATAAAGTGAATGATTCGATACGAAAGTTATGAATGGCTTGTCCATGGAGCTGTAAGTGGACAAATATTACAGCACGTTTAATTGCTCCATTTATTTTAAGCTTTCCAAAACAAATCACGCCACAAAAACAATTAGTAAAAATTTTATAACATAATCAGCAATCTCAGAAAGAATTATCTCTCTCATCAAAATTAATATATTTTCGGTGAGAAAATAAAAATACCAATTTCATGAGAAATCAT